GGGGGCAGAAGGGGAAGGGGGGAGGGAACCTCCGAAGACTTAGTCCCCTCAGCCATAAACAAAGATCAGATGGCACCTCCCAGGGCAGCTGCGAGGAAGCTGAGAGAGGTGATGTTTTAGTATAAGCTCAATAAATGCTAAGCTCTTGGTAAAATTGTTGTTTCCTGAACAAGGAAATCAAAGATTCCACCCACACTGGCTCTGCCCTCAAACACGGCAGGGTCCTGAGGGGCTGGGTGTCAGCCAGCTGGATGGGGGGCAAGGCCAGGGCCTCTGGGCAGGGGCAGGGCGGGGGTGGGGGGGGTGTTTACTGTCAGCACAGCTGGCCTGGCGCTCACTGCCAGCACCAGCCAGGCCGGTCCCCCAGGGCCTGCATCCAGGCACAGCCTTCAGGAGAGCGTGGGGGCTACTAGACTGGGAGGGGGCCCTCTGGGTGCCTCCCTGGAGGACAAAAAGCTGGGCTGCTGGCCCCAGGGAGCCGGAGAGGAGAGGTAGGCCTGCCCTTTCCTCCCTTCCTCCCTTCTCGCACACTTCTTGGCCATCTACTGCCTCAGGCACTTTAAGGCACTGTGGACTGCTAATTTAAAACTGAAAAGGCCTTTCGAAGTGAGAGGCAACAGGTATTTATTTCAATTCCAGGTCAGGGCACATGTCCAGGTTTCAGGTTTGATCCCTAGTAGGGGGCATGTAGGAGGCAGCCAATCAATTATTCTCTCTCATCAATGTTTCTATCTCTCTCTCTCCCTCTCCATAAAATCAGTAAAAACATACTTTTAAAAATAAAATTATCTCATTGGAGCATTTGACATCTTGCTTCTCGACAATGCCATCAGTTTGGCTCAAATAAACTCTTATAAACTTTCTCTACATACATATATACATAAAATGTCCTCATTTATTTATTTTTGACGGGACAGGGTCCTGAATTAAGCATGGATGCCAATCTAGGGGCACATTCACTTATTCACCCTTTCACTCACTGGTTCAATAAAGCCTATCATTTATTATTATTTTTTAAAATATATTTTTATGATTTCAGAGACACATGGAAAGAGAGATAGAATCATCAATGATGAGAGAGAATCACCGACCAGCTGCCTCCTGCATGCCCCACATTGGGGAATGAGCCCAAAACCTGGGCGTGTGCCCCGATGGGGAACCAAACTGTGACCTCCTGGTTCATAGGTTGATACTCAACCACTGAGCCACGCTGGCCAGGTTAAAGTCTATCATTTATTCATTGGTTCATTCCCTCAACAGGTTTTCGGTAACTCCATACAGTATGGTCTGTTGTTAAAGCTCTGAGGTCCAAATTACTTCCATTTCCAGCCTGGCTCTGCCACTTACTAGCTGTGTGACCAGCTGCTTAACCTACCAGAGCCTCAGTTTCCTCATCTGTAAAATGGAATAGCACCTCATAGGACTGTGATGAAGAGACTAACTGAGCTATTCTCCATCCATGTGCCCCATCTCAGTGAGGGCCCCATTCACCTGTTCAGCCTCTCAGACACTCCCTACATGCTGCCAGGCCCTAGGCTGGGTCCTTGGAAATTCTTCATTCTTTCTTCATTCGCTCATTCAACAAATGTGGACGGAGTGCCTGCAGCATAGCACGGGGTCGCGATGCTGTGACAACAGGCGTGTAGTCACACTGCCTGGGGTTTGGATTTGGGCTCTGCCTCTGTCTCAGTCGGTGACCTCGGGCACATCACTTCCTCTCTCTGGGCCTCAGTTTCCTCATCTGTATAATGGCAATAAAAATTGCACCCACCTCACAGGTCTGGTGTGAAAGGAACCTGAGGCAGGTGGTGCACCTAAAAACATCAATAGCCATTATTGCAGATGAAAGGGGTATTGGTTAGAATGAAAGTCTGGCTTCTGAATACATGGACCCCCGCTGAGCCCCTGCCCCCT